CCTGCCCCCCGCGGCCCCCCAACAGCCCCGGCCGCGTGGACACCCTCCGCGTGGTGCAGGGCCCACGCGAGGTGGAGGTGGCGGCCAGCACGGTGGCCGGGACCCCCGCCCAGAGAGCCCAGGACCTGGAGCCCTACGGAGCGGGCCTGAGGGCGCTCACCACGTCCGGCGTGGGCCCCCAGAACCCGGCGGTCTTCCGCAGCCATGAGGTGGTGGAGGCCATGTGCCCTGTCCCCGCCACGCCCGCCGGCCACGTGCACGTGATCAAAAAGATCAGCATCACCGAGCGCGGCTGCAATGGGACCGCAGGTGAGTGGGGAGGGCGGGGTGCGTGCGTGTCATGGGGGGACCCCTCCTGCCGCCAGCCTCTGCCGTGCTCTCTCTTCATGGTCTCCCCTCCCCCCCACGAAAGGAAGGGTGGGTGGGAATCCCACTTCCAATCTCAGCGCCGTGAGGGGCATGCAGAGAAATAGAGGGTATCTGGTCTCGTTGCTTCTTGGAAATGTCTAGAAAAAGAGGAATTAGGTGTGGTGGGGAGATGCGTCCCCCAAGGCCGCCCACGCGCGAGACAGAAAACCTTGTGTTCATTCCCTGAGGGCTTGGAGCCATTGAGCCCCAGAGGAAGAAAATGTGTTGTTCGGGTGACCGAGGCGGCTTCAGGCCCGGCGGATCCAGGGGCTCGGGTGTCACTGCAAGTGCATCGAGTGTGTCGCACCTTCCTGCCCCTGTCCTGGCTGGACCCGGGCGTCTTCTGAGGAGGCCGCAGCAAGGTGGCTCCCGCTTTGTGCCTGGAGCCTGCAGAGCTAGGGGTTCAGGGGAACCCTTCGGTCCAGCGAGCACGGGTGACAAAACTCCTGGCCAGGCCTGTCATGGCGGGGCAGCCTGCTGGCTCTGGATCCCGAGGGCCGCCGGAGGGCTTGGGCGGGTGCAGAGGAAGTACCGAGCCCTCGTGCCAGGAAAGGGGTGCAGGCCTGTCAGCTGGCCGGGGAGAAGCTGCCAGCATGATTCATACTGACGGCACAGCTGCTCACGAGGCGGAGTCCAGCCAGGGGGCGCGGGCGCTGCGCTCAGCGTTTCTCCAAGGAGGGGCTGGGGAGGGCCTGGCCGCCGCCCGCCCGGGCTCGGATTGTACCCGGGGCTCTGAGTGGCCCTGGGTGAGTGACCTTGCCTCTCTGGGCCTCAGTTTCCCTCCCTGTGAGCCTTTGGTGGAATGCCGATTCGGACTGCTCTCTGGAGGCCTCGGGAATCCATGTATACAGAAAGTGCTCAGTAGGTGCTTTTTTAAAAATGTGTGTTGGTCACGGGGTTTGGATTCAGGGCCGTGTCCCTGAGCTCTTTCACTCAAGGCTGGAGCTCTGCCACTTGAGCCACAACGCCACTTCTGGTTTTCTGCTGGTTCATCGGCGATAAGAGTCTCATGGATTTTCCTGCCCAGGCTGGCTTTGAACCGCAGTGCTCAGATCTCAGCCTCTGGAGTAACTAGGATCGCAGGTGTGAGCCGTGTACCTGGTTTGGAGCCGGGGAGACCACTCAGCTGCCCGGCTGTTTTCTGGGTCCCCGGTGGTGTTTCTGGCAAGCTGGGGACACGCGCCTGTGTTCCCTGTCCCTCCAAAACACTCAGCCCTGCAACCCTGGCCCCTAGCCAGAGGCCTGCCCGGCCCCACCTCGCAATCTCTTGAGAGGCTCTGTACCTCCATTCCAGACATGCCTCCTGAGTCAGGCTTCTGACCCGAGGACAGACAGACGTCATGATGTCTAGTCCCTAACAGTGCCTGCTGCTAGCCCTGGAAGTCCCTCCTTAGATCTCACTTTACTCCTCCTTGCTGCGGCCGGCTCTATCTCAGAACATCTTTGGCAGTTCTGTTTACTGCTTCCGAATCCTGGGCCTGGTCTTTGGTGTGGGTCCGCTCTTCATTTCTTTCCAGTGCCTTGAACTCTGGGCCTGGGCGCTGTCCCTCAGCTCTTCAGTTCAAGGCGAGCGCTCTACCACTTGAGCTACAGCACCACTTCTGGTTATTTTGAGTAGTTCATTGGAGATAAGAGTCTCTCAGGCTTTCCTGCCCGGGTTGGCTTTGTAACGTGAGTCTTGAAGGTAAATCAAGGCTGGGAGCCTGGCTCAGAGGTAGGGCGCCTGCAAGGCAGGCCTGAGGCTGGGCTCCATCTCCAGCGCTGCAAGACGAGAAGCTGTGAGTTGTTTCCAACGTGGCCCTGGGTGGTGGCAGGTGTCTAGGTTTTGTGGCCAGGTTAAAAATAAGCTGGAAGGGCTGGGGAGGTGGCTCAGTGGTAGAGCGCTTGCCTTGCATGCCTGAGGCCCTGGGTTCCATTCCTCAGCACCACATAAGCAAAAAGAAAAAAAGTCGGAAGTGGCGCTGTGGCTCAAGTAGTACAGCACCAGCCTTGAGCAGAAGCATTCAGGCACAGAGTTCAAGCCCCATGACTGACCAAACAAAACCAAAAGACAAAAACGGCTGAGTGGGCAAGGAGATTAAAAAAAGAGTAAGCCAGGTAAGGTGCAGCTGGGACCAAGCCCCTGGCGTCAGGGCTTTATTAGGTGTAGAATATGCTAGAAGATGTGAGAACAGGAAAGAGGTACCGGGGATGCTGATCATCGAGGGGTGCGGCCAGTGGGGCTCTCGTGACCTGTGACAGTGTAAGACATGACAGTGGAGGACTTTAGTAGCGCTCAGGTCAGCTTGGTGAAGAAATCAGGAGGCGGCGGCAGAGCAGGACTGGCCTCTTTACCCTCCCGAAAGCAGCTGCTCTTCAGCAAAGCCTAGAGAGTGGGGAGGGGGGAGGATGAAGAACCACTCAGGCTGGCAAGGTTGGGGTGTTAGTCAAAGCCTGGAGGACCCCCCCCACACACACACACGGCCTGGGCGCTGTCCTTGAGCCTCTCTGTACTCAAAGCTAGTGCTTTCCCACTTGAGCTTAGCTTCTGATTGGAGATAGGAGTCTCTCCGACTTTCCTGCCCAGGCTGGCTTTGAACCGTGATCCTCAGATCTCAGCCTCCTGAGTAGCTAGGATGACAGGCGGGAGCCACCAGGGCTTCCCAGTCTTCCCTCCCCCCTTCCTTCCTTCCTTCCTTCCTTCCTTCCTTCCTTCCTTCCTTCTTCTTTCTGTTTTTTGAGACCTTTGTTGTCATTTTCCAGTTCCCTTGCCCATGGCTGGGGCACTCACCCGTGGCCAGACGTAATGGGATGCTGGTGGTTTGATAGGTGAGCACTTGGGCTGCTGAGGTGGGAAGATCATGAGTTCAAGGCCACCTCAGGCTGTGTAGCAAGACTCTGGCTCAGAAAAACAAATTTTGTTCTTGAGGAGCTCAAAATTGTGTTCAACTAATTCTACGCCTAACTGGGGTGCACGTAACTAACTCCTCCCTTGCTCTGCTGGTTAGTTGGAGACAGGGTCTCTCCAACTTTTCTGCCCAGGTTGTCTTTGAACTGCAGTCCTGTGGATCTCAGCCTCCTCAGGATCACAGGCATGAGCCACCAGCACCCGGTCCCAGGAATATTCTTTTGTTGTTGTTGTTGTTTTTCTGTTGGTCGTGGGGCTTGAACTCTGGGCCTGGGCGCTGTCCCTGAGCTCTTCAGCTCAAGGTGAGTGAGTACTATATCATTTGAGCCACAGCACCACTTCTGGGTTTTCTGGTGGTTTATTGGACCTGAGTCTTACAGACTTTCCTGTCCAGTCTGGCTTTGAACCGTGATCCTCAGATCTCAGCCTCCTGAGTAGCTAGGATTATAGGCGTGAGCCACTAGCACCTGGCTAGGAGTATTCTTTTGTGTGTGTGTGTGAAATTGGGATTTGAACTCAGCCTCATGCTGACTTCATAAATAAACTCTCTACCACATGAACCACGGCCTCCAGCTCCACTTTTTTTGTTGTCAGTTGTGGGGCTTGAACTTAGGACCTGGGCGCTATCCCTGAGCCTCTTTCGGTTGCAGGGCTTGAACTCTGGGCTTTGGCGCTGTGCCTGCATTCTTCAGCTCAAGAGAAGCGCTCTACTGCTTGAGCCACAGCGCCACTTCCAGTTTTCTAGTGGTTTATTAGAGATCAGAGTCTCACGGACTTTCCTGCCTGGGCTGGCTTTGAACTGCGATCCTCAGATCTCAGCCTCCTGAGTAGCTAGGATTACAGGTGTCCCTGAGTCTCTTTTGCCCAAGATGAGCGCTTTACCACTTGAGCCACAGCACCACGTCTCGTTTTTGGTGGTTCATTGGAGATAAGAGTCTCATGGACTTTCCTGCCCAGGTTGGCTTTGAACCGTGATCCTCAGATCTCAGCATCGTGAGTAGCTGGGATGACAGGCGGGAGTCCCTGGCACCTGGCAGTTTTGCTTCCACTGAGATCATTTTCAGATGTGTTCTATTTGTGACTGAGATCACTCACCTGCCTGGCAGTTCTCTGGGTCCCTGGTGGTGTTTCTGGCAAGCTGGGGAACACCATGCCTGTGTTCCCGGTCCCTCCAAACACTCAGCCCTGCAACTCTGGCTCCCAGCCGGCCTCCTGGGAAGCTGGGACTGCAGGCATGCGCCACGGGTATCGGGCTCCTACTTTCCTTCAGTTTATTTTACAGATAGTGTCTCGTGATTTTCCCCAGGATAGCAAACCTCTTACCGCGTGCTCTTTACTAGCTGGGATTACAGGCATGTAGCACAACACCCAGCACAGTATCCTTTTTATTTTTCCTAACCACTTAGCAATGGGAAAAAAAATAAACATCCACAGGCCGTAGCTGTGTCTGTGCTGTTCCAGTCTGTCCTGTTTTCTTCCTTGCTTTGTTTTAGCAAGCCAGAGCTCACTGGGTCGTCCTTTTGTGTTCTTCCATTCCCTGACTCAAATGACCTCCTTCCTCAGCCGCCCTCGGCTAGGCCCGCAGCTTCGCCACACCCTGGAGCATTTCTTACTCTCTACCTTCCAGGGGATTCATTTAGATATTTGAAAAAATATGCCTGTGCCCTGTTTAATTTCCTTACATGGTATTGTGTTTCAGAAAAAGAAGGAAGGGGGGGGAGCTTTTTGCTTATTTTTTTTCCACTCTTTTTCTTTGTTGTTGCGGTCCTGGGGATGGAATCCAGGGGTTTGCACATGCTAGGCCAGCAATGTACCCACGGAGCCACGCCCACGGCAAAGGAGATTGGTCGGCCGCCCGCTTGGCCACGCCCACCCAAGCCACGCCCTCTGCAAGGCCACTCCCAGGCCACAGTGGAATTTGTAAACCTGGCTTGCTTTTATTTAATGTGTTTGTTTTTGTCAGTCCTGGGGCTTGAACTCACGGCCTGGGTGCTGCCCCCTGAGTTTTTTCCCCTCAGGGCTTAGCGCTCTACCACTTGGAGCCACAGCTCCACATCCAGCGTTTTGATTGTCCATTGGAGACTTTTCCTGCCTGGGCTGGCTTCGAACTGAGATCCTCAGATCTCAGCCTCTTGCGTAGCTAGGATTATAGGCGGAGTCACTGGCGCTTGGATTGTTTCTATTTTCTTTTTTTTTTGTCGGTCGTGGGGCTTGAACTCTGGGCCGGGGCGTTGTCCCTCAGCTCTTCAGCTCAAGGCGAGCGCTCTACCACTTGAGCTACAGCGCCACTTCCGGTTTTCTGGTGGTTTATTGGAGATAGGAGTCTCACGGTCTCTCCTGCCCGGGCTGACTTTGAACCGCGATCCTCAGATCTCAGCCTCCTGAGTAGCTAGGATTACAGGCGTGAGCCACCAGCGCCCGGCTTGTTTCTATTTTCTTACTTTAATTTTTGTCATGCGCGCCAGTCCTGAGGCTTGAACTTCAGAAGCCGGGTGCTGCCCCTCAGCCTTTTTACTCAAGGGTGATGCTCTACCAATTGAACCCCAGCCCCACGTCTGGCTTTTTGGAGGTTAATTGGCAACTAGAATCTCCTGGGCGGACCTGGGAAGGTGGCTCAGTGGTAGAGTGTTTGTCTCACATGCATGAGGCCCTGGGTTCCATTCCTCAGCACCACATAAGTAGGGAGCAAAAAAAGCCAGAAGTGGTGCTGTGGCTCAAGTGGTAGAGCGCTCGCCTTGAGCTGGAGAGCAGAGAGACAGCGCCCAGGCCCAAAGTTCAGGCCCCATGACTGACAAAAAAAAAAAAAAAAATCTCCTGGGCTTTTCTACCGAGGCTGGCCTTGGACTGTGATCCTCAACTCTCAGCCTCCTGAGTAGCTGAGATTCCAGGCATGAGGCGCGTAGCTCCTCCAGTCTCTTTTCTGTGGTCCGGGGTGGTTATCTTCAGTACTTTGAAAGATAGGGTACCCCATCCCAGCATCCCCCACCGCACCCCCTCCACTTTTGGGGCAGTTTTGGTAGGAGTTCACGTCTCCTCCTGTGTTCCCTTGCCTCTCTGTCTTTTCTGCTCGAAGCCTCTTGCTCAGGGTCTTGGGTGACTCACCGCTTTATAGACTTACTTCGTTTTTCTAGTAGTTTACAGACATTCCTGGAATATTCCAGAATAGGGAATGGCAAACTGCAGCCAGATTTGGCCCGTGGCCTGTCTCAGTGTGGCTCTCGCTGAGGAAGTTTGGTGGGTAGAGATGGTTTTTTCTTTTGTTTTTTTGAGGGGTGTTTCTTTCTGCTGGGCCTGGGGCTCAGGGCTCTGCACGCTGGGGAAGCACTCAGTCCTGGGGCGTTGTTGGTGTTGGTGTTTTACTTTTTAGGACTTGGAATCTGCTGTTTCGCGCAGGTGGCCTGAAACTCGTGGCTTTGTCCTGTGCAGCGGTTGTCCTTTGTCAGTCCTGTAGGCTGGTACTGCAGACGTGCAGCACCACACGTGACCTCTCCACTGGTGTGAAGATGTCTGAACTCAGAAGTAAACATTAGGGGCTGTGGAGTGGGGGTGGACTCCCAGGAATACATTCAGCCAGGAGCAGTAGCTCATACTCACTTCCTTTTTATTCTTTTTCTTTTTTTGTCAGTCATAGGGCTTGAACTCTGGGCCTGGGTGTTGTCTCTCAGCTCTTCAGCTCAAGGCGAGCACTCTACCACTTGAGCCACAGCACCACTTCCGGTTTTCTGGTGGTTTATTGGAGATTAGTCTTATGGACTTTCCTGCTTGGGCTGGCTTTGAACCGAGATCCTTGGATCTCAGCCTCCTGAGTAGCTAGGATGACAGGCGTGAGCCACTGGCACCCAGCTAAGTGGCTCATACTTATAATTCCAGCTACTCAAGAGTCTGAGATCTGGGGGATCAGGCCTTGAAGCCAGCCCAGGAAGAAAAGTCCATAAGACTCTGATTGCCAATGAACCAGCAAAAAACTGGGAATGGAGCTGTGGCTCAAGTGGTAGAGCACCAGCCTTGAGTGAAAAAGCGAAAGGACAATGCTCAGCTCCTGAGTTCAAGCCGCAGGACCAGCATGCACACACACACACACACACACACACACACACTCACTCGTAAGTTCAGTATCCCCTTGGTAGAGGTAGATTGGGGGTCCCAGAGACCCCTTCCTCCAAATCTACAGATGCTCCAGCTCCTTTTTCAAGTGGTGTAGATTTGCATAGAACTTACATCCTCCTCCTACAGTCATCCTCCTGGATGACCCGCCATGCAATTAGTTACCTCCTTGTTCATGCTCGGGCCGGCGGGACCTTCCACCATCTTGATGTGAATGACATTGTGAGCCGAGCCCGCTTACCAACACGGGCACTGATGAGAAGCATCTGTCTGTCCTGTCCTGTCCCGAATGATCCAGCCCTGCAAAGGCCTGAGGACTAAATAAGTGAACAATAAAACCTCTGGGCATGGTGACCACACACCCAGAGTCTTTCCTTTTTTTTGGTGCTGGGTTCGGGTATTGTCACTGAGCTTTTGTGCTCAGGGCTGGCACTCTACCATTTGAGCCACAGCTCCACTTCTGGCTTTTGGGTGGTTCATTGGAGATAAGAATCTCATGGATTTTCCTGCCCTAGTTGGCTTTGAACCTCCATCCTCAGATGTGAGCCACCAGCTCCCAGGCTTTATGTGTGTGTTGTTTCTGTTTTATTTATTTATTTATTTTTGGTCATTCCTGGGGCCTGAACTTAGGGCCTGGGTGCTATGCCTGAGCTTCTTTTGCTCAAGGCTAGCCCTCTACTACTTGAGCCACAGTGCCAACTTGCAGCTTTTTCTGTTTGTGGTGCTGAGGAATCGAACCCAGGTCTTCGTGCATGCTAGGTGAGCACTCTACCGCTAAGCCACCTTCCCAGCCCTTGTTGTTGTAATGTGAATTGATTCTTAAGGTTTAAAAAGCAGAATCAGGAGACCAGGGATAGGGCCTAACAAGCATGAACTGCTGGGTCCAGCCCAAAGCTGACACGCACAGAACCAGTAACGACAAAAGAAGAAAAGAGCAAATGTTAACTCAGAAAGCTGGGCAATGGTGGCTCACGCGTGTAATCCCAGCTGTTCAGGAGGCTGAGATCTGAGGATCGCAGTTCAAAAGCCAGCCTGGCCCAAGAGAGTAGATGAGACTCTGAACTCCAGTGAACCAGCAAAAAACTGGGAATGGAGCTGTGGCTCAAGTAGTAGAGCGCCAGCCTTAAGCAAAAAGAAGTTCAGGGATGGCACCTAGGATGTGAATTCAAGCCCCAGGAGCAGCACACGCATTCATGTACACACACACACACACACACACGCACACGCACACACACACACACCCAGCCCAGCCCAGCATGTTGTTGTGACTGGGCGTTGTCTGTGGGCTCCCTGCGATCCTGGGCCAGCGTCCCACGCGGCCCTGCCCTGTCTGGGCTCTCTGTCTGCGAGGGGGTGGGGCTGCGTCACTGAACGGCTGTGACCTTGTCTGGGCTGCTGCCCCGCCCCGTTAGGAAGGGGGCTTGCCCTTGGGCTGAAGTGTTGGGGGCCCAGGGCAGGAAGTCCTGGAATAGGAGAGGTGCCCGGCCCAGAGAGCTGAGTGCATTCCAGCAGCCAGGCACCAGTGGCTCAGGCCTTGTAATCCTCACCGCTGCAGAGGCTGAGATCTGGAGGATCGCAGTTCCAAACCAGCCCTGGCAGGAAAAGCTGTGAAACTCTTTTTTTTTGTCAGTCGTGGGGCTTGAACTCTGGGTCTGGGCGAGCGCTCTACCAGCTCTTCAGCTTAAGGCGAGCGCTCCACCACTTGAGCCACAGCGCCACTTCTGGTTTTCTGGCAGTTTATTGGAGATAGGAGTCTCATGGTCTCATGGTCTCTCCTGCCCGGGCTGGCTTTGAACCACAATCCTCAGATCTCAGCCTTCTGAGTAGCTAGGATTACAGGCGTGAGCCACCAGCGCCCGGCAGCTGTGAAACTCTTTATCTACAATTAAACATCAGAAAACCAAGCCGGGCGCGGTGGCTCACACCTGTCATCCTAGCAACTCAGGAGGCTGAGATCTGAGGATCACAGTTCAAAGCCAGCCTGGACAGGAAAGTCCAGGAGACTCTTATCTCCAATGAACCACCAGAAAACTGGAAGTGGCGATGTGGCTCCAGGCTCGCCTTGAGCTGAAGAGCTGAGGGACAGCGCCCAGGCCCAGAGTTCAAGCCCCACAACCAACTAAAGAAAGACTTGATGATCCCGCCGCTGCCTTGCTGGATTTGGGGTGTGACCGTTGTAGTTTTGTGGTGTGGCCCCAGGTTCGAGCCTGACCGTGCATCTCCCCAGGTCCCCCACAGGCTTCTTCCGAGTCTTCCCCGTCCCCCATGGAGTCAGCCGTGCACCCCGACACCCCCAGCCGGGAGCCAGCCCCACGTGCAGCCCCCTCCCCCCAGCCACAGCAGGCCAGCGGGCCAGGTGAGTGGCTGTGTCCCCCCACAGATGGGGTGCAACCCCCGGGCTGCCTGGTAGGGGTCACCCAGAGCCCAACCTGACACCCCCCCGCCCCTCCAGGTGGGGACCCCATGGAGGTGCGGGCCATCGTGAAGCGCAACGAGGCGGCTGCAGACCCCACAGCCGAGAGGGGGAATCTCCAGTTTGTGGGGGTTAATGGCGGGTAAGAGGGGGACCCCACCCTCACCCCCTCCATCCAAAGGCCTGAGAGAATAAGACTTAACCTGGGCACCTTAGCTGTGCTGAATCCGTGGGGAAACTGAGGCACAGGGACGCTGGGCGCCTGCCCTGGGGCTCTAGAGCTGGTGTCTGCGGGAAGGTGCTGGCTTCGGCTCCTGGGAGCCCAGCCCGAGAAGAGGCTGAAAGGCCGAGGGGGAGAACTGATTCATGCTGAGTTCACAAACGGGGGCCAGGCGTGGTAGCTCATGCCTGTAATCCCAGCAGAGGCAGGACCACAAGTGCACACAAACAGCCTTAGAGTTGGTCCACGGAGCATCTCTGCCAGGTGGGGGATAGGCCCGCCCCCTCCCACCCACCCGCCCGCCCGCCTGCCTCCTCAGGTATGAGTCCTCATCCGAAGACTCCAGCACGGCCGAGAACTTCTCAGACGACAGCACCGAGAACGAGGCCCCAGGACCGGAAGCCAGGGTTCCCGGCGAGGCCGGAGCCCCCCAGCAAGCAGCCGTCGGGACAGCGGGCCTCCGGGCCAGCCGCCCGCCCTGCCAGCTGTCTCGGGAGTCTCAGCACGTGCCCACGGCCGAGGGGGCGGCAGGGTCCAACTCGGAGGAGGACATCCGGTCAGTTTTCTGGGTGGAGGGGCGTCAGGCAGCGCCTAGGGTGGGCGTACCTCGTGTCTTCTTTCCCTATCAGTCCTGCACACTGTAGTGTGAGTTAGCGAGCCAGCACTTTCCCTTTCTGAGCTCCTCCATGTCTGGAGGCTTGCTAAGGGTACCAGAGCCTTTTGCTTTTCTGGTTTTGGTTTTGTTTTGTTTTTGTTGGTCATGTGGCTCAAACTCAGGGTCTGGGCATGTCCCTGAGCTCTTTTAAGTCTATTGCTCTGCCACTTTGAGCCAGAGATCCACTTCTGGTTTTCTGGTGATTCATTGGGGATAAGAGTCTCATGGCCTTTCCTGCCTAGCTGGGCTTTGAATGATGATCCTTAGAGCTCAGCCTCCTGAGTAGCTAGGATGACAGGCGTGAGCCACCAGCGCCCAGCCGAAGCCCTTCTTCAGGCTGCTGATAACAGCATTTAGCAGGCGAGGCTAGTTCATCCCTCGCCTCTCACCTATTTGAGTCTCTCTCTCTCTCTTCTTCCCCCTGATGAAATATCTGACAAAGGCCAAGTGTGGTAGCTTACACCTGTAATTCCAGCTAGGTCCTTGGGAGGTAGAGACAGGAGGATCATGGGATTGAGGCCCAGCCTGGCCAGACCCATCTCTGAAACAGACATACATAAGAAGTGGTGTTGGGGGTCTGGGAAGGTGGCTCGGTGGTAGAGCGCTTGGCCTCACAAGCATGAGGCCCTGGGTTCCATTCCTCAGCACCACATAAACAGAAAAAGCCGGAAGTGGCGCTGTGGCTCAAGTGGTAGAGCGCTAGCCTTGAGCTAAAGGGCTGAGGGACAGCGCCCAGGCCCAGAGTTCAGGCCCCACGACCGACAAAGAAAAAGCAGTGGTGACAGGGGGATCAGGGTCCGTGTCCAGCCCGGGAGGAAGCGCGAGACCCTGCCCGAGAAGGAGACCAAAGCAGAATGACCGGGGACGGGAGACCAGGCAAAGGACGTGTGTGCTCCGAGCCTGCTCTGCGGGGCGGGCAGTGCCCCTCGGGGCTCGCGTGCCCTGCCTCCGCCGCGTGCCCTCACCCCCCCAACCCCCCTCCCCTCATCCCCCCACCCCCCCGCAGGATGGAGCTGAGCCCGGACCTCATCTCGGCCTGCCTGGCCCTGGAGAAATACCTGGACAACGCCAACGCGCTCACGGAGCGGGAGCTGGTAGGCGGCCGGGGCGCCCGGGGTGGGGCGGGGTGGGGTGGGGTGCGCGCCCCGGCCAGCCCGGTTCACCGCCCCCCCGCCGTGCGCAGAAGGTGGCCTACACCACCGTGCTGCAGGAGTGGCTGCGCCTGGCCTGCCGCAGCGACGCGCACCCCGAGCTCGTGCGCCGCCACCTCGTCACCTTCCGGGCCATGTCCACGCGCCTGCTGGACTACGTGGTCAACATCGCCGACAGCAACGGCAACACCGCCCTGCACTACTCCGTGTCCCACGCCAACTTCCCCGTGGTGCGGCAGCTGCTGGACAGCGGTGAGACCCGAGCGCGGGGCCCTGCCGCCCGCCCGGGGGTCCGATGGAGGAGGCTCCGCCCTCGCAGTCGGAGGGAGGAGGCACCAGTCCCCCTGCCTGAGGGAGGAGGCACCAGTCCCCCTGCCTGAGGGAGGAGGCACCAGTCCCCCTGCCTGAGGGAGGAGG